GCGTGATGTGCTAGGGATGAAACCCAGGACCTCTTGTATTCAAGGGACACACTCTGCAGACAGGCAGCAGCCCCAGCCCCCCAGTGTTTTCTTAACAGTCACGATCTAGAGAAGTTGAGGCCTCTAACTGGGACTATGGGCAGCACTCCTGAGATGGCTTCAGAATCCAGGAGTGGTGGGTACACCTGTGATCTGAGCATTCAGGGAGAATGAGGCAGGAGGATCGCTATAGGCTCAAGGCCAGCCTGTGCTACCTAAAAAGGCCATGTATCAAACACTCGGTTGGTTGGAAAGATAGTGGCCTATCTGTGTGGACAGTGTCTTGGACCCTCAAGGACCCCTAGTCTATGGTGCCTGCATCCCTTCTGTGCAGCAGCTCAGTGCTTGTGTAGAGCCTGACCTCTTCCCACAGCTCCCCCTCGGCAGTAAGGCAGGCCGCCTGGATGGGGAGATGCTGTGCACATAGTTGTCATACTGTGTTCAGTGGGCAATGATGAGAAGAAAGCCTGCACACAGCACAGATTCAGGACGCTGAACCCTTTCAGTCTAGCTGGATGTGTTGGCTCATGCCTGCCGTCCCACTCAGGTGGCCAGGGCAGGAGGATGAGCAGGAGGTGGAGGCTAGCCTGGGCTAGCCAGTGACACCCTTGTCACAGAACACCAACTGACAGTAGAACCTGTCATCTGAGGTTCCGTGAGCCTGTGCTGTACCTGCAGCAGGTGGTTGTTGATCCCTGGCCGCCATGATCTGAGATTCCACAGCACCACACTTGTCTGCTCTTTTCCTGGAGTGTGGGCTGTGCTAGGGCTCTAGATGGAGTGGTAGAAGTCCCGAAGTCCCCAGCAGGACACTGAGACGGAGACTCCATTTACACAGCTGTCCCTGCACATCGCTACAGTCCTCATTAGCTTACTGAAGTCAGGCAGAGGCATATTGTCATGTAGGAGGCTGTATAGCCCTGTACTCTTAAGGGTTCAGGCATCCATGGAGAATCTTGGGATTCACCCCCACAGATGGCGGGCACTGAAAACTGCAGGATGGGGTCCTGTACCCCCATAGGTGAGGGGGAACTATTGGACATGTAGCCTGGGCCACCTTGTAAGTCTCACTGTTGTAAAGTTTGTGTTACATTAGGCTAGGATGTGTGGTCAGTGGTCAGAGCATTGCTCTCACATGCATGAGCTCTGGGTCCCATTCCCAGCATCAAAACTAAGAAAGGGTGGCCAGGAGGAGAGGGGCCTTAGTTTCTGCAAGTGTGGCGCTCATGTGCCCTCTGCCCTGCAGAGTACAGTGGCCGCCCGCAGCCCTACCCCTTTGAGCGCATGGTCTTCGGGGCCTGTGCCGGCCTTATCGGGCAGTCGGCCTCCTACCCTCTGGACGTGGTGCGGCGGCGCATGCAGACGGCAGGTGTCACAGGCCACCAGCACGGCTCCATCCTGAGCACGCTCCGCTCCATTGTGCGTGAGGAGGGCGCGGTGCGGGGCCTCTACAAGGGCCTGAGCATGAACTGGCTGAAGGGCCCGATTGCCGTGGGGATCAGCTTCACCACGTTCGACCTCATGCAGATCCTGCTCCGCCGGCTGCAGAGCTAGGCTAACACCACAGCGGACGGTGAGCTGTCAGGTCAAGGGTGCAGCTGAGTGCTGGCAGCCCTGTGGTACCTTGAGGATGGGCAGGAGGGCGGGACCTGGCTTGGGGCTGTGGGGCCCATAGCGAAGTGCTGGCCCTCAGGGTGTGACATTGTGATGATGGATCTTGGCTGTCCCCTCCCTTCAGTTCCTTGCTATTGGCTGGTGAGTCTCCTGAGGCATTACCCAAAGGCCCCTAATGGATCAGTGGCACTTCCTGGCCCTGTGTCCTCTGACCTGCTGCTGATTCTGGTGCCCATTGGCACACTGGGCTCAGAGTCCATCCCTTCTTGCTATGACCGTGCCTGGCCTGCAGATGTGATGGCTATTCCTTTAAAGTCACACACTGGAGGATCACAGCTTGCTCAATGGTGGTCGTACTTGTGTCCCTCAGTCCTCCACCATGCCTGCCCATCCTCTCCCAGGTGACAAATGGCTGCTCTTGCCCACAAAGCTTTCTCCCCAGAGCACTGTGCCCATCCCATTCCCGAGGGCTGTACCTGACCCTTGCCAACTACCTGGCTTGTAACCTTTCCAGGAGGCCCCATGGCCACCAGGCAGGGGGGTCAAGTTCAGACCCCACTGGAAATGCCCATGTGGGGTGTCACTGACCTGTGGTGTCTTCCAAAGCACACCAATCAGGCTGTATGCAGGCCCAAAGCTTTGCATATGCACAGCACCCATGGAGGTGGGGCTCGAGCTCTTGAAACTGCCTTCTGGGGATCCAGTACCCATCAGGCTGTCATTCAGCCAAGCCACATGAAGCCCCAAGATGGGTGGCTTTTCCTGTGTGAATGAGTATAGACGTATCCATGGCCTGGGGCGTAGGGAAAGGCCAGGGTATCCAGGGACCCCCAGCCAGCTGACTCAAGGAGAACCCCCTGGGGTTCCCTAGGTGTCACAGGAACCATTCCTTTCCTGGTGTCTGGGGTTCTTGATTTAGGGTCTTGGAGACAGTCCCAGCCAGAAGCCCTGGCTATCCTGTTCCTCAGTGTTATCTGGGCTAGCCTCCAACTTACAGCAATCTTCCTGCCTCTAGTTTCTAGTTTTCAATTTATCCTGCCCAAGGTCTGCACATAAAACCCCTCCCCTGTGCAATGTGGTTCTGGCTGAGAGGTGGTCTGGGTGTTGATCTCCACAGCTGATGGCAGCCCGATCACATGCAGGACCTGGCAGGGTGGCGTGACCCCTAGGCATTGGCAGCTCTTGCTGCAGTGTGTGCTCATTCTGTATTTCTTACCTTGTGCCTGTGACGCTCAGCCATCTCTCTGCCCCCCGCGACATTGATGGGCCATCCCCACCATGTCCCCAGGCATCCCCACAGCCTCTGGTGGCTGAGAGGGACTGTCCTCTTGTGAGTGTACTGCCCACTCTGTCCTCTGCCTGGCCCCATATTGGGATGGAGAGGCTGGGCAACCCACACCAGGAGGCTGGAGGTGACGGAGGCTCCTGGGCCACCCCAGCAGGTAGCACCATGTAGACGGTTGGCTCAAGCCCTGCGTCAGGCAACGGCTGGGCAGAAGTGAGGGTGGCATGGGTCCCTGATCTTGCTTTCCCATATACCCTCAGTAGCTCTGGCTTGGGGGCCCCCTGCCTCTGGGGCTGCCCTCCTCTGTGGTCACTGTCCAGTCTGGAGTTCTATTTTGATGCCATGAAGACACTTTGTTTATATATAATGTTTATATATTTTGAAGATTTGTGCCAACAGAGTATATTTAATAAAAATTTAAATAACCCCTGCTTCTTGCTTCAACTCCGGCTCTCCCCTCCTCGTTCTATGAACATCGGCCCTGAACAGGGTGAAGCTACTTAGCACTTTTGTTTTTAATTTTTCTAGATAGGGTTTTTCAGTGTAGCCCTAGCTGTCCTCAAATTCGCTCAGTAGACCAGGCTAGCCTCTCTGCTTCTGCCTCCCAAGTGCTTGGATTAAAGGTGTACATCACCACCACATGGCCACTATTTGGTACTTTAAAAAAGCATTTTGTGTATGGGTGCTTTGCCTGCAGGAATGCATAACTGTGCATGCCTAGTGCCTGAGGAGACCAGCAGATCCTTAGTGTAGACTTGCAGATGATCATGAGCCACCATCTGGGGTGCTTGCACAGCCTAGGTCATAAGCAAGAGCAGCCAGTGCTCACTGCTGAGCCATCTCTCCAGCCCCCTGGCTTTCCTTGGGAAAGAGCTGAGGACTGCAGGTGTGTTGTCTCAGCGCTCTGTGCATCTTTCTGTTCTTAGATGTAAACGTGACACAGGCTACTGGGGAGGAAACTGATGGCCAAAGATGGAGAATTATACTGGGGCAGTAGAGCCCCAGCCTAGAATCCCCCCAGTGAGGGGCTGGGGGCGTGGCACCTACTTACAAAAGAGGCACGGATCCAGGCATACAGTAACCATGTAGCTAAATCTGCCAACAACAAAATGCCTCAGATTTACTTACGTATCTCACATATATAATCCAGGCTGGCTTCTAGATCTTGCATAGCACTGGCTCACCTACCTCTGGATTCTTCAGCTGTGCTCCATCATGCTCTGCAAACAGGCTCTGCCAGGATCCTCGGGCCCTTGCTCTGGAACACAGCCCAGGCCCCATTCAGCCCTCAGCCAAGTGTCTGAGGCGGGAGCCTACGAGGCATATATCTACACTTTGAAATCCACAAAGCAGAGCCTTGCTTTCCAGCATGGGTGGCACTCTGTCCTTACCCATCCTCGAGTCTCCTGGGACTTTCACAAGCTTCGACAGCCCTTGTCAGGGTCAGTTTGGGAGGCAGAGAGACTCCAGATAGACCTTCCAGGAAATCCTGTTGATTCATACCACACACATCAGCCATACTTGCTGCAGTCATGAAGACTTGAGTTCAAGTCCCCAGGGCCCACATAAAGTGGGACAGCAGCACAAGTCTATAATCCTAGCACTCCTACTGCAAGGTGGGAAGTGGGGACCAGAGACTCGCTGAAGCTGGGTGGACAGCCGACCTGAGGAATTGGGATAAACAAGAGACCCTGCCTCGCCGGGCAGTGGTGGCGCATGCCTTTAATCCCAGCACTTGGGAGGCAGAGGCAGGCGGATTTCTGAGTTCGAGGCCAGCCTGGTCTACAGAGGGAGTTCCAGGACAGCCAGGGCTACACAGAAAAACCCTGTCTCGAAAAACCAAAAAAAAAAAAAAAAAAGAGAGAGACCCTGTCTCAAGGTAGAAGGCTGGGATCTGCCTGCTAAGTTGACCTCTGAACCCTGCTCTCACACAGGCGCCTACTTTATCACAGCACTTGTGTTCACAAGCAGAGACCAGGGGTCTTCCCCAGAGTGAGACCGGAGGCTCAAGGCTATGACTGTGCACCGGCTCTGGAACACCACTGAGTCAGGCCACACTGGCCACACGGTAAGGCAGCGATGTAGGAGCCTTCCTTTTTTATTCTCAATACACATTTTACATACGTAGGTGGCCATGCATATCTCATAAATACACATGTACACACACTAAGTCATAGCAAAAGGACAACTTTGGAGTTGGAGGTAACCCTTAGTCACCAAGGCCTCAAAATTCATGACAGCAGTCACGCTCACAGCTTTGGAGGGTGGTGACAATCTCCCCTCCCCCCTTTCACACCTTCCCCTTTTTTCCCCTTGTTCTACAGACATGGTCTTGTTTCTGCTCCAGCCTCCCAAGAGTGCTGGGGAGACAGGCATGGACTCTTGTCTCTCCCTCCTGGTGATAGTGACAGATGCCAGGGCTATGTGGATGCTGGGACAGAGTCCCACCCCTAGCTCTCTCCTAGCCACCTCTGACCTCTGGGTTCCCACTCCTTCCTAGCCCCGCTCTCTCCCAGGCCCCTCTCACTATCCAGGTCTCCCCTGCTCATCTCCCAAGTCTCTGGGATATTTCTGTAAAACGTGCCTCACACACACATACTTGGGAACCATGGCCCAGGGGAGACTGCTTAAAGGGGTTCATGATCTAGGCACTGAGGTGAAAGATGGTAGGGAGTCCCCACACCAACCATTAGGTCATCTAGGGGCACCAAGGCACACACACAGGGGACAGTCCCAGTCCTGGTGGGCAGGAATCAGATGCTGGCCTAGTGCCTCCAAGCTAAGAGGCTGTCAGGTGCTGGTGGAAATAGAGGCCGAAGAGGCTGGAGAGCAGCTGGCAGGCCGCAGTCCACCAGATGACGTAGGTCAACACACCTCGGAGGAAGAGGGGTGTGAGCAGGCCACCCAGGATCCCTGTGACCTGGGCGGCAGTCTGCTGGGCCTCATCTCCTGCAGGGTCTACAGGGGTCAAAACCTCTGAGGGCTGGGGTGGGGCCAGTGGTGAGGAGGTAGAGCTCAGCGCCCAAGAGTAGCCGCCTGTGAGAGTGAAGATGGGAATTACCAGTGGAGACATGGTGGTGGGAGTCTAGAGACTCTCACACCCTGCCCACACCTAGATCACACCCCACGGGCCTTCGGGGGCCTCCATCCTCCCTGCCTATAGGTCTTAACTGAAGTTTTTCCTAAACCCTGCCCACACTTTTATCTGCTGGCCCCGCCCTTACCAGGCCATGTCACCACCTCTACTTGCCAACCTTGCCCTCGCACAGAGACACCCCACCCCACCCCCCGCTTTTATCTGGAGACCCACCCTCATCAGACCTGTCCCCACCCTCTGGCCACACTCGCTTTCCCACCAGCCCCTCACCCAGAGTCTTGAGCAGCAGTGTGCAGTGCAGAGTGAGGATGAGCGGCGTCAGGTACTGCAGGCTCACCACCGTCACGTAGCAGTAGACCCGAACCACCTGACGGGGGAGGTAGTGGGGGCTGTAGAGGGGGTGGTCTTCCCAGGGCAGAGATCCTGCGACCAGGCCCCCTCAGCATCGGGACCATCCCACCTGGGGTACACACCCGCTGCTGGATTTCGCGGGCCTCAATACGGCCAGCCTCCTTGCGTAGCTGCTCCACTCGAGTCTTGGCCAGGCACAGGTAGGCCTGCAGGTGTGGCCGGGTCACTGCCAGCCGCAACAGGCACAGCGCCACCAGTACCCAGAGGCGCAGGGAGTCAAAAGTCCCTTCCGATGATCTATAAGAGGGAAGCAGACAGGGAGTTTGGGTGAGCCCTCCTTTCCCTGGCCATCTTTCCAGCCCATGGCCTCAGACACCCCAGGTCCCTCAGCGCCCCACAACACGCACACAGAGAAGGTCATATTCCTCATGGGTGCCTGGTACAGGAAGTCCCGGGCAACCGGCTTTGTCCAGAGCCACAAGGTGCACAGGGGCGACAGGAAGCTGGTGTGCAGGAGCAGCCTGGGGGCGAGCATCGGGATGTAATGGCTCCTGGCCACCAGCCTCTAGCGCAGCTCCCACCCCACCCCAGGAGACCCGCCTAACTGTAGCAGTGGTCGGTCTGCAGACAGAGTCAGCGCGTCCTGGTGGGTCTGGGCCAACCTCAGGCCAGGGAAAATGAGGAAGGCGCCCAGCAAGGAGCCTAGCACCGCCAGTCCAAGGCGGATGACCAACTTGATCACAGGGAGTCTGGAGAGAAGAGATGGTCTCAGGAAACCCACAACTGGTCAGATTCAGCCTTTAGATATTCCGCCTACCTGCACCCACCCCCAAGATCTAGTCCCCAGGACTTACGTCCAGTCCCAATCCTGCTTCTTCAGAACAGGCTCCAGGTGCTGGGTCATGCTGGCCAGGCCTGGGAAAAGGAAAGGAGAAGATCCTGTGGTGTCCATGGCTATGGTTTCCAAAGATAGGCTGACTGGCCTTCCGCTTGCAGACCCACCTGTCTCTGCCTCCCTGTGCCAGGGTTTACAGGCGTGGGCAGCCAATGTCTACTCTTCACATGGGTGCAAACTCAGGTCTTCATGCTTGCAGAGTAAGCACTGTCACACTGGCCCAAGCCCCAGGCCAGACAACCTATACTAATTGTGCCTGTATTTTCCTGTGCTGGAATACGGCCCAGAGTTTCCACATGCACTGTGCAGGCGCCCTGTCTCTGAACCACACAGAGTCTGCTAGGACTAGACTGTGAAGGACTGTTCAAGAAACAGAACCTAGGGCTGAGGAGACAGCTCAGAGGAGAAGGCACGGGATGTTCTTCCAGAGGACCCAAGTTTGGTACTCAAGTCCTACGTAGGGTTGTTCACAACCATCTGTAACTCTAGCCCTGGGGTATCCAAAACTCTCTGTTAGTCTCCAATAGCACCTGCACTCGGGTACACACATACACATAATAAAAACTTTAAATAAATCTTGAAACAAAAACCGGGGTGCTGGAGAGGTAGCTCAATGATTGGGAACACTACCTGCTGTTCCAGAGGTCCTGAGTTCAATCCCTAGCACCCACATGGTGGCTCACAACCAAGATCCGATGCCTTGATCTGGCATGCACGAAAATATAGCACTCACATACATAAAACAACTAAACCTTAGAAGCAACAAACAAACAAAAACAAGGGGCACGGAAATGGCTCTGCAGTAAGGAGCCCTGGCTGCTCTTTCATGGGGCCCACATTCCCAGCCCCACCCACACTATGGCTCACAAGCTGCTGTAACTCCAGTGCCCTCTTCTGCCCTTTATAGGTACTGCACAATCCTGGTACACAGACACCCATGATGGCAAAACACTCATACATACGGAATAAAAATAAAATTTTAAAAACAGTAATAACAGATCAATCTTAACCCCAGTACTCGGGTAAGGCAGGAGGATCTCTGTGAGTTTGAGATCAGCCAGAGCCACAGAGCGTGTCCCAGTCTCAAATGGAATAAAAAGAGAAAGAAACAGAAAGTGACCTGGGTCTCAACAGAGGAGCATACCTACCTGGCTCCAGGCCCAGCTCCAGGATCTCCTCCCGCACCACCTGCACCAGCATGGCCAAGAGGAGGAAGAGGAAGGCAAAGGAGAGGCACACTGAACGCTCTCCACCCTCCTTGGTGCTGAAGTACAGCCGGGTCACCATGAGGAACACTTTGCTGGGGATGCGGTTAAGAAAGCCAAGGACAGGCTGGGCCTCTTCAGACCCCCCTCTCCAGGGCACAGATAACCCTGCAGGAACTGGCCTTGGGTCCCTGCAGTTTAAACCTGGGATGTGGATCAGGTAAGCTAGGAGTACTGGTGTTTAAGGTTGGAGGAGGCCTAATGACCTGTGGCCAATCAGAGATCACTGTGGCAGCAGTGCTTAGGGAAGGCCCAAGCAGATGTGGCATTTGAATGCTGTGGAAAGGTCAGAAGCCATTTCCCCTTTAGGGGACAGTGCTTGGGGCAGAACCTCAGCCTCTTGTGTGTGAATCCAGGGGCCTCTTCCTGCATACTCAGGCACACCCATCCTTTCTCAGCCAAGTTCGCCCACACAGAGCTCTGTGCACAGCTTAGGGTTGACTATTTAAGAGCCAACGACACACGGTATCTCCATCAGTTAACCTCAGAACTCTCCTAAGATGCAGCCCCTGGTTTTAAGGTTCAACTATGCAATGTTTCCCCAAACTCATACCCAGAACACTTGGTGGCCAGGTGATTCCCCAAGGGGTCTGTGCTTTCTCAGACTAGAGTCCCTACCATGTCTGGGCCTCTGTTTTCAGTGCAGATGGACTGGTCTTTCCAAACTCCAAGCTAGCCTTGTGACATGCTTTTTGATGCAAAGCATATACCAGAAGGTTTGGGCAAAAAGATGGACTGGGTGGTGGCGGCTCACAACTTTAACCCCAGCAGGCAGAGGCAGGGGGATCTCTGAGTTTAAGTCTAGCCTAGTCTACAGAGTGAGTTCCAGGATAGCTACACAGAGAAAGCCTATCTTGAAAAAACCAAACCAACCAACCAACCAAACAAACAAACAAAAAAAAAAAAAGATGAGCCAAATCCCAGGAAGCTGTCCCTGGTTTTCTCGATTCTACAGACCTTCAGGGATAGGAACCCACACAGTAGGGCCAGCACAAGAAAACCAGACCATACACAGTGTAAGTGTATACAGTGTAGCAGTGTACACAGTGTAGCAGTGTACACAGTGTAACAGTGTACACAGT